ACCCTGTGTATACGGGGTGAACCGGGACCAATTTACCTCCCCCCCCCTCCGTATATTCGTTGCTCTTCTGGATGTATATGTTTCAGATTTGGTACATCGATTTGATTGCATGAGTGAATGATTTCGCTATCAGACGACATATGACACTTCCGGTTTGACCGGAAGTGCATCTAATATTTTTATTCCAAATACAATACGATTCAATATGAATGTACTTTTCTGATGATATATCACAATCATATTTTCAATCCACAATCTATTGATACATATAATTGGGATATTACCAAAAACTACTTTTTGTATTCCCTTCCTAACAGAATATTTCCATGAACGTGTGCAATGCATGTGAGTAATAAAAATAATGTATGTCAAAGTTCTAACACAATAATTTTTATGCACACTAACTATTATTTACAATTATTTTATTTTTTTTTCATTTGTCGACACCAATAAACTCATTTTTTGAAAATGCTCTCATTGTTTCTGTCAAGTTGCTTAGAAACCTCGTTAGAAACTACTGTGAGAAACTCCCATGGGTACATACATATTAAAATACAAGACAGGATAAAATTAAATTTTTTCATTTCCTATTTAGTTTTAAAAAACATACTCTCCATAATATTTATACATTGTATTGAAACTTTCATCAACTTCATATTAGTTGGCTATGATATCCATATTTTTCATGGGTTTAGAATCATTGTTGGAATTCCAAAAATCTGACGCAACATCATATTCGATTCGATGAATTTCCTACATGTTACGATGGGCATAGAAAAAGAAAACTTTATATATAAAAATAAATGTTTATCTGTATGTCCTCTATAGAATCGCAAATGGCTTGACCGATTTCACTAAATATTTTGTTGTTGTGTTTGTTATTGTCGTGAGAAGGTTCCTATGAGAAAAAAATTAAAAATTCAAGATGGCGGATCCAATATGGTAGACGAGTTTTATGATTATAATCCGATTCCATTCAAAATTGGTATCTGAAGGTTTTTATTAAATATACAAAAAGTTAAAATGCGTTTTACGAAACGATGATATCTGGAAATTCAGATTTTCAGCCGACATTCCGTCATTGAGCTGTCATCATCAATGTTGTTCTTGTGAATGCGGCCCTGGATTTTTCAGCATGATAGCTTTTGATCTCCTTGAATCAACGGTGTATCGCACTCATTCAAATAATTCATATTTATAGCATTTTCCATGAGAAGTCATGTGTTAGAGCTATAGAGATACTGAGAACAGATTTTTAATAGGATTAAAAATAAACACTTTTTTCGAATAAGAGCAATACACCGTTGACTTTAGGACATTATAAGTTCTCGAAATCCATGATGAGAAATCCAGGGCCGTATTAAAAAAAACATATAAGACCATCCTGTAGAACTGAAAAAGTTACAATTTGCTATATCTATTCAAATAGAGTAAAATGTAAAATAAAAATGAAATCTGGAATATTCTTTTTTCCAAATAACTTCGATAGTATTCGGAATTTTTCAAACGACATTTTGTTATTCAAGAAATTGCGTAAGTTTGCCTCCATTTCACCCCCTCTATAGCTCTTACAGTTTCCGAGATCCCCATCATCAACTCGAATTTCACTCACCCGGTATATATACTACTTTGCGGCCTCTGGAAACTACGACGTCGAATTGGCGCCACAACTCTCATTTTATTTCATCAAAATTTTGAGATTCACTTCCAAATAAATTGAGATTTGTTCTCATAATTTTTATATTTATTGTACAAGGTGCGCCCCTTAAAATTGAAAAATTGAAAAATGTGTCGTGAAAAATTGAAACGTACCAAACTTTTATTTTGTGTTCCTAGTTCTTTTATATACAGGGTCATTCGATTTTCCATCAGATCGGACGTTGACTATGATTTTTTCAATTGATCACTCTATAGTAATATTTTTTGCCATGTCGATAGAGCCTCATTTTCTGATTCCAAAAATACATAATAGTGTCATATTTGTCTGAGAAGTGGTTGATTTATAAAATATCAATGATCAAAGTTTATCAAAATACATCTTCATATCACCTAATGTCAGTTGAACATAGTATATATTATGGGCTTTGAAAGAATGTTTATTTATTTGTTCAACCACAATGGAAATGTCATGGATATTGTTCAATATGGAATTGAAAACGTCCAATCTCAATTTAAAAAAAATATGTTACAGTTTGATCGAAAGATGCTGTATAACTCAACAATTTTTCATCCTAATATGCAACCTATTCATATTTTTGAATTCAGAGAAGAAGGCTCTACCTATTGACGTGTCAAAAATATATAGGATGATCCATTAAAAAAGTCAGAGCTGTTGTCCTTTCTGGAAAAACGAATAATCCTGAATATAAAAAAACATTACAACATGAAAATTTTAGTAATGTCAAACAACTTTTTCATTCAAATTTTTTTCTTCTCTCTTGTAACAAAAGAGTTGAGGAGAGATTAAATTGTAAGAAACGCACCATGTACTATATGTATATTTTTTAAACTTTCAATTTCTGAAGTTTAGGATTTCAAATGATTTTTATGAAATTCCATGTTTAAAAAAGTGTATATTACTGTTTACATATTTATCTGATGGCATGTCATAATGACAACGTTATGTCACTCAATTTTGATGACATAAGGAAGCTCATTATGGGACTAAGTACCATAATGAAATTCTATAAGGAAAACATGTAATGGTTTGATCAAAAAAGTAAAAAGTTTATTCAAAATGCATAACTATGTACAAAACTATTTATTATAAATGGTAAAAGAACAATTACTACAATTTGTAATATTAATATAATGGCAAAGCACAGCTCACTCACCTACTAATATTTGAAACTACACAATACTTACTCCTTTAAAAATAGTTGTCATTGTGACATGTCGAAAATGCAGTTTTTAATTTTTCGAAAATGTATTGATATAAATGCCATCAGATAAAATTTTGTATGTAATACGAATCATAAACAATCATTATGGCACACGCCGTGTTATCGGACTCGGCTACGCCTCGCCCGATAACATTCACGACTTGTACCATAATGATCGTCTTTATGATCCTTATTACATAAATAACTATTATGTATGTGTATGCATGCGACTTTCATTATGGGACTGTTTTGATTAAAATCAATTTTATATGATACTGACTATATTTATACATTTATTGAATGTTATTAATTTAATTTACATTTATATATACCTACACGCTTTGTCAATAAGATATTATTCTTTGATAATAAAGCATATTTTGATATCCAAAGTAGATTCTGATATAATAGAGAATACGAATGAACTAGGACTTTTTTCCTCTGTTCGAATTACGATAAAATGTTGCAGTTTTCCGGTTTTATCAAATTGAAGTTCATCACACAACACGCGAGATATGAATAAAGCTAAGGAAAGGGTATCGAAAAGTTTGAAAGTTAGGTAGGTAATGAATGGGAAAATTGATGAATGTATCGAAATCTGGCAAACTCAAAAAAGTTCAATTCTTTTTCGTACTGGGACCGGGGACCAACGAGAGAATGCATCAACAACAATTGAAAACAAAATAATAATAATAATATGTATGTTATAGTATTATTCGTCGAAGGATGATCCACGTTTGAGTGATGACGTACGCGACAATTTCTTCATTATTCTATATTATTCGATTTTTGTAATTTTCATCCCTATTACTCATTGGTTCAGTATACAGTGCGTCCGATGAATTTAGTGCTCTCATTAAGTATATTGGATAAGTTTGTACAAAATTTGAAAAATAAGTTTTGGAAAAAACGCTCAACATCGAATTCCATTTTGTTTTGGACATTTTTTCAAATTCAATGAACATACTGTGTGTAGGTTAATCGAGGAGGTTTTTTTGGGATTTTCTCTCCTCGTTTCTATAAAATAAAAATATGAATATCAATTCAATAAATATAGGTGTAGTCAGGACAAATCACATGATTTGCCCCAAAATATAACTGCGTTTAAAGAATGTTCCTATCAGAGAGCCAAGAAGAAAAATTCACTGGCTTGTCAGTGACAATTCGTATTGAATAAGGTTTGAAGAAGAGAAATAAAGGTATATAGAAAAAATATCAAATTTTCACTTAGCTTTGGACGTTTTGGGAATGAATCTGCTCCCGTTTTCAACAATACGAATTTGCAATACAAATATCCATTTTTTATGGTGGAAACGGAAGCAGATTCGTTCTCAGAACGTCCAAGCTATAGTGAATTTTTCTTTTAGGCTCTCTGATACTAAAATTCTTTAAACGCAGTGACATTTTGGGGCAAATCATCTGATTTGTCCTTACTACAAGTATATAAAAATAATATTCATATTTTTATTTCAGTTTCAAACTTACCTTGTCTATTGAAAAACCTTCATCCACTATTCTCAGTGAACCCCTGTCACAATGCAATAAGGAAACATTCTTACAGCTTGCAAGGCACAAATTTCCAAAGTAAAAGGTATACCTACCTACCTGGCATACCTAACAGAATTTCTTGGTCCAAATCATAGTCGTCTTCTTACAAGAAAAGCGTAGGTAATAAAAACGACCAGACAAGTCAGCAAGTTCCTTTCAAAGTCAGCATTGCCGAAAGTTAACATGGCCCACATGTTTACCTGCTACTGCCTTAGGGGCAAAGCATGCCATATCTTCAAAGCCATGGCCTCAATATGAATCAAAGATGCACTGCATTCTTTCATATTTTATAAAATGTTAATTTGTTAATGCATTCACTTTTTTAGATAATTTTTTCAATAACTACATATTTTTTAATGTTTTTCTTGTTTTTTTTTCAATAGCATATATTTTTTTGTTCAATTTACATTTATTTATTGATTGCAGTTTGTGACTTTTTGAAATTGTACCTGAAATAGAGAAATAAATAAAAACAGTGTACGAGTTCATGTTAGAATCATATTTATTAAAAAAATAATCTCTTAAAATACTAATGGAAGACACTTGAATATAATATAAAAATTGTTAAAGCTTGTATCACAAACAGATAAAAAAATCTGCCAAATTAAAATTATACAATGATTAAAACTATCATATCACATCGACATCAGTCAAAAAAAAAATGAAAGAGAAAAATAACTTGAGCAAATCCATCACAAAATTGGAGGTAAGGCACTGGGTCATCACAGGACTGGAAATCATTCTTCCCCAAAAAATGATTTAGGCTTGGGCCCATCTATCGCTGGGCACTTGCAACTCTGCAGTTTGATAATTGCAGATAGCATTCTTGTCCCCGCGGCAGCAAATGTCAGAATCTGGCCCAGCAACCGAAGTCCAGAAGAATGTACCGGCCTCTGTCCTCGCAAAGTGAACGGGAATGTACCTTTGACCTCGCTCCACTGGCAGGAAGTCCATTTCTCCGCTCTCGTTGTAGACAGGAACGGCGGAGAAGTCCTCGCAGTGGTCAATCTCCTCGAAAATCTCGTTCTCCAGAATTTCATTGGCGATGTTGTCGCTGACCTCGTCTTCTTCCAGGAAGTAAGTGGGCTGCGGGCTCTTGACGTAGGTGTTCTTGTTGCTCCTGCGCAGCACGCACTTTATCAACTTCTTGATCTGATGCATCGGCGACTTGGTTTTCCTATCGTTGACCTTGTTGTCATTGATGGAATTGTTCAAAACTTCTTCGACGTGGAAACTCATTTTGTGCACTAACAGCGAAGCTCTACTGACGTAAGATACGAAAGTGAATGATTTTACGGTGGCTTTCGAGCGTATTTATACGGCTTCTGCGTGACGTCACGGACCCTTAGGACTCCGAAGCGGGGTTCCACCCCAACCTATCGCTGCGACGTATAGGGACAGGTGTTCGTTTTCGGTACAGCGAGCTCGGAGTTGCGAGAGGCCATATGTGTGGTAGAAAGTGGAACAGAGATGGGATACCTGTATGTGTGTGTATAGGGTGTACGAGATCCGTGAGAATCGCAATCTACTTGGAGTTCCCACGATTTTTCGAGGCAGATGGTGAACGTGAGGGTGTTCGAAAAAGATTTTCGCCTAGGAAGGTACTATATGCGAGGGAGGGCATTAGGCGAAGCGCTGACCCGTTTACCTCTTCTAGACTATTCTTCGGTGTTTGTTCGAGAAAGGGGAGCTTTGAAAGGGGTTCCTATTTCTTTTAATTTGTATCGAAATGCACGTGTGTATGGAACGAGTGAAGGATGAAAGGGAGCAGGTTGATGATGGTCAGTTTTATTGAATAAATTTACGTACGGTATTGAATGCTTTCCAGGTTTTGTATGGAGGAAGGAGTTGTTTTTCGGGTTGAGGAATTTTTACCTGTGTGTTGGATTACTTGAATTTCAATAGGCGGTTTTGTGCAAAATTTGATATTGTACCGTTTAAGGTTTACGGAATCTTAGGAATAACAATTCTTTTGAAAAGGAACGAGTTTCGTAGATTGATGAAAGATATTGAACAAAATTGAAGGGAAATATAAACTTGAATACTTCCATGCATATGTCTTTCGCTTACTCTTTAGTTAAAACATATTCATATAATCCAGTATAATAATTCGAAATTGAATGTTTATCTGAAGTGGCAACTATATGATGATGAAATGCAATGAAATATTCAATTAAAATTTTAAAACATTTATATCGACTTATTTCATCAACTATTATTATATCTAGATACAGAATATGAAATTGAATCTTATGACAGTAGCAGTTTAGGTATATACGTTTTAATTTTCACAATGCAAGGGTAGTCCCTATAAATAAGTATTCCTATAGTAAAACACATATGGCCATCTCCACAAAAAGAACTAGGAGAATATGTCACATGATTGAAGAAGAAATTATGTTTAATGGTTTCAAGAACACCCTTTTATATAATTCTCGAGCACAATAACAAATACAAAAATGTTTTACTTATGTGACACAAGATCGAGTTGCCTTTCAGTGAATTCTAATGTGTTCTATGGTAGTACTGGGAAACTCTATAGGTACAGTGTGTCCCACAGTAAACAGGAAAACCCAGTATTTTTTTACTCAACATGCGATCTACTCTCCTGAGTTATCCATTCTCAATCTGTTCAAATGGAGCGAATTGGACAAGATTCTTTTGATGAGACTGTGAGACCTCGATATTAAATAATCCTAGAAATTAGAAATTATAATAGGTATGTATCCACAGTGTTGGAGGAACTCATTCTTATACTATTGATGACCATGTCCACGAATACCTTATTCCTTGAGCCATATAATGAAGTTATAAGAAATGAAAGAAGGCCAAGACAAATTTGGACTTTGATGTATTTGTAATAAATATGTTTCCTCTTTCCTCATCATAAAATAGCAGGATTTGGGAAAGCAGTATTGTATATGTTGGGCAATATATTATACTCATAGGAAATGAGGAGTCTATTTTTTTAGAAAATTTTGATATGAACCTTACATTTTTTTAAATTTTGTTTGATACTGAATGTGCATGTTTTTGAGCATATACTACGAATATGAAATCGAATATAAATAGCTGAACAATGTCCATTGATTCTGTCAGTAATTGATTTACAATGATTTACAGAAATATTGGCAGGCAATTGCCAGCAACCCTAGACTAGACTCACCCTCACCCCCACTGACGCTCTTTTATTTACACTCTCTCCGGGGTTGTTGTCTCGGGAATTTTTATTACAGGTAATAATCATCATATTCACATAGTTTTATGAATTTATTATCCATAGACAGGACGACAGGTATCTCAAACTACAGGTCCTTTCTACCTAACAGGTAGTTGGAAGAGTTCTATAATTTATTATGTTTCCTCTGTCATATTCCATATCCATTAGAGTTTTTGAAGAATAAAAAATGAAACAATTTGGTGATTTTTTTCTATGAGGCATAATATTCAATGATTTTAATGTTTCGTTCGCTTTCATATATTTATTTTCGCCTACATTAGACTCACATAAAATTTTTACTACTATATTATTATATATAGTGAAACCCCGCGATTGCGGGGGGGCCGTTCTTCGGAGGGGGCCCTGTGGCCCAGGGTCTACCAATTAGAGCAAGGACTCAGCCAAATTGGTTGATATATGAATATTTTTTGATTATGAATATGTCACAGAAATAATTTATCCATTTCTGCGAATAGTGCAGGCATGTTGTTTTCAGTGTAGGTCCAGGGTGATGTGTGAAATCAACGATACAAGCCAATTATTTTAAATGGAGAACTTGAATTAAACTAGTGGTGCTTCAAAAAGACGAAGGAAACAAAAGTTAGAAGATGAGAAGTGTACAATCTCCAAGATTCCCACGTTCTTTACGAATACTACTACTGTTTCGGATAATACAGTTGAATATTATGATGAATGTCCATCAAGTAGTAGCAGTATGATGATTGAAACAGGAATGGATGTTGACTCTGCAATTATTATGGAAGAAAAACTATTCCAGATTTTTTGGGATTTTCTCTTCTCGTTTCTATAAAAAAAATTATGAATATTATCTCAATATACGTGTAGTAAGGACAAATCAGATGATTCGCTCCAAAATGTCACTACGTTTAAAGAATTTTCCGAGGAATTTTCCTATCAGAGAGCCTAAAAGAAAAATTCACTAGCTTGTCAGTGGCAATTTGTATTGAAAAAAGTTTGGAGAAGAGAAATAAAGGTATATAGAAAAAATATCAAATTTTAACTTAGCAAATGACGAGACTTCTGCTACTACTGCATTCGAAACTGCAGGTACAGATGGTGTGAATATAAAAAGTATTATATCTGAAATCCACGAGGAGCCCATACCTGACTTGAATGCGAGAACTCCTGGAGATGGAACTGAGTCAGATGATTCATTACTGGATGTATTAATTGAAGAATCATCCTTGTGATAAAGGCAATTTCATTGGCCCTAAATGATTTTGGGGGACCAAAATATGAAGTTATGCCACTGATATCAGGATACTGATATTATTTTCTTCTGCATTATTATACAGATTTCGAATTCCTACGTCCGAAAATACGGGAGATTCCATACTTCTGAATAATGTTGTGAAAGATATATTTACCAAACTCTTAAAAAGGAGGAATTATACTGATTCCGAGACTAATTCTTCCACAAATTCGAAATTTCTCAAAACTTGACATGTTTTGTTAACCCATTAGGTTCTTTAAGTGAAATCAGTATCGTTTTGTGAAGTTTTTACAATTATTATATGGTTGTCCATCGAGCAACAGCCGATGGAGAAAAACAACGAAATTGTTGAGATTTATCTCTAGTTCAACAAGTAGTAACGTAAACAAATACTTATAGATTACTGTAAAAAAAACTTCTCTGACGATAATTATGTTGAGAAAATATTCTTGGAAATATTTCCAAGGCAGCGATTGCTTTTTGTAGTTTGAACTGGTTGCCATTGCATAAACGTCTTTTTGATTTTAGGTCGTCATCACTGTCTCAGTTGCCAATGTTGCCATTACCTTCCACGTCAAATTCAATTTCCGCAGGGAACCTTAGTTGCACTCCAGGTGAATTATTTGGAACTACATCGTCTCCAGCCCCAGAATCTTCATTGGTATCGCAGTTTTTGTTGGTACTTAGGTTGGAAAAAATATAATGCTTGTGTCCGACGTAGAGTCATTCTCATTTTCATTGAACGACCTTGGATTGATCGAGAAGTGTGAAACATAACCACAAATATAAAAAAGTATATTATGTTATTTGTTGAAAATAATCGAAAGAACAACGGAAAAATTAACAATTTTCAACATGTCCTGAGGTTTATGCAAAGTCAGTTGAACAGATCATCAAACAAATGTCAGGCCGCGCTGTCGCACTCTTTGAACTTTCAAAGGAACCGACGGCTTGCAGTGATGTGTTTTTCCAACTGACTTTGCTTTAACTATACACCTTGAGTAACTTATTGCAAAATCACTAAAAAAACAGCGATTTTCAACCGTCACTATCGATCCAAAACTCAACAAAACCCTATCGATCGCGATTTACCATGTTTAAGATGTCAACTAAATATAATGTGACACTGGCCACAGCTTCATACCGTCAGCCGAATCGGAAAAATACAGGTTTCGTTTTGAAGTCTATTTAAAAGGACAGTAGGCGTAAATGGGTTAAATCAAATCGTCATGCAGGCCTGTACATTTTTCTATTTTTTGGGCACATGAATGATTCATTTGAAAAACTAAATAAATTATCGTAAACCAGAAAGTTGGGACTAGGGATCGTTATCATATGGAGTCGAAACTCATTCGTTCATATAAGATATAGATTACTGAAAAACGACGATATATGAATTGCCCTGTCCTGTATACATACGTTTATAGATACATATATTCGAACGAAATGATAGGTATCGTGTTTCGATCTCAGGTAATACAAAATCCACTTGTTGGTTTTGTTGATGTCCTAGTGTTGAGAGAAGGGTTGAAATCAAACTGTCATGCAGGCCTGTACTTTTTTTTTGCTTTTTGGGCATATGAATGATTCATTCGAAATACTAATTAAATCATCGTAAACCAGAATGTTGGGACTAGAGATCGTTATCATATGGAGTCGAAACTTATTCAAGAGATTTCTGAAAAACGACGATATATGAATTGTCCGTCCTGTATGCATACCTTTATAGACGCATTTATTCGAACGAAATGATATCGTATTTCGATCTCAGATAATAAAAAATCCACTTGTTGGATATGTTAAGCAAACGAAATTGGATGCTGCACGTGTTCGGAAGAGACAAAAGGCCTCTGGTCTCGCCCAACAGGTTTTCATATTAGGTGGTGCGATGATGGCACCCAGAAGGAATAAAAAAGAGC